TTCGCACTTCATTATGGCGGAATTTCCCCGGATTACGTACTCGTTATCCGCCTCCACTTCATAAGATTGCGCTACCACTTAAAAAAATCAAAGAATTTAATTTTACATAGCGCCCTGACCTAAAAATTCACGTTTTATTGCATCCATCAACAGCTTTCTATCCAAAGTTTCCAAAAATAACGGCAATAAGCTACATGAAGAGCTATTTTTAGGTAGAGAAAACAGTGCGGAGTAAACATAGATCAATGCACATTTACGTAAGATCATAAAAAAGCATGGAATTACGTTCTTTGTCTTATCGGGTGGGTACCTGCAGAGATTGTAGATCTACTAATCTCCGGTACCTGTATGTTAACTCAGCGTAAACATATTCACTTTGATTGTGTGCTTAACGAGAACTGGATATACTCATGCTCTTTTTTTAATTAATTTAATTCGTTAAACGTTACCTACTTATCATCTGAAGGCTGCAAGTTAGGATAAGTTATGCATAAATATCAGATTAACTACCGTCGCAAGTCGCATATTCCGGGACACGGGATATTAATAGAAAACTGATGCGCCTTAATTAAGAAAAAAGCAATTAACTAGGAAGAATGGATTTGAAATATTCAACCGCATCCAAACTTGTTACAATAACTAACGAATTTTCTCCGTGCAATTGTAAGGTTTGAAAAGGTCGCTGATCCTCTAAGCATGAAACTGAGTATAAGGCGATTAAAGGCAATGATACACGTGAAATCAATCGCATTGGTGTGCTTAATTGATGGATTAACAAGGCGTGAATGCTTCTAATTCCGGTCAAATGCTGGTGAAGGAATGCACTCAACACGAACGAAACTCGAAATTCGAAAACGAATGGAAACTTTGACTCAGAAAACTAGGACGGAAAATAATCTAATAAAAAAATGCAGTTTATTGCCAAGAAACTTTCAGTCACGTTTGGATTTTGCTGTTATTTATGCAGGTCGGATTTTGCCAGGCAATTTTGAAAACATTTTCAAAATTCTTCTCTTGTTTTCGTGGTCATTGTTGTCAAACTAACGACGTGAGCGAGTCGCTTTTGTGTCAGCTGTGCAACGCATAGTCCGTTGTGTAAATGGCAAGTTTCGACATTGAGCCATCATCAGACATCATTTGAAAAGTTGTACATGACATATACAAGTACCTGATGAATGTTTTAACTGAAACCTTAACCAAAACTCTTCGAACTACATGGAGTGTTTCGTGTTAAAAATAACGACTTTGAAATGTAAAAGCATTTTGTCAATTAAACATCATCCAGTGAGCAGTATATTTCTAAAGAAGCTGGAGTTTATTTCAGTCCTTGCAATCGATCGTCGTGTTTGTTTACCGTCCGTGAGACAACTTAAATTACTGAAGATGAATATCGAAACTTTGAGTTTGGAAAGACGATGTATTTTTAGTTGGTTTTATAGATCGAATTCTGATTTATTTTCCTGACTGCGTGTATTTGTTATGATATTCTTATCTTTCCTGGGTCTCAGTCAAAGTGTGAAGTAAAAATTTTGAACATTGTTTCTGCAAAGACCTAAATGAACGTAATGTTTACCAATTATGAGTTTGTGTAAATTTTAAATCTGATGATGGCGCTGTTGTCTCGCCGAAACGTAATGAAATAAACGATGTTCACAATTTTTACTTCACACTTTGACTGGGACCCAGGAATGATAAAAATTTATAGATCGAAGCAACTGCTTTTCCACAATGTCGTAAAATCACCAGTTAAATGGACTTCTTCGGAAATGAGAAGGCAAAATAATCATTCAAATTTGAAATTCAGCGTGTTCTGCTAAGTGGGCGATATTTTTAGAACATGAAGTAAAACTGTGTTACTGACCGCTACGAAAACAGAATCAAATGTTTAGCGGAAACGAGGAAAATACTAAACAAAAGTCCGATGGTGTTTTCAATTAGTGCTTTTTATTCGCCAAACTTTGTCGATAATGGAACGCTTCACAAACCCAGTCGTTTTAACCGAACACTTGGTTATTTTTAAGTTGATTTCTAATGAACTTTCTAGTTCCCTCAGGATATGACTAGGTGCAGAACCGCATTTAATTTTTGGCTCATATTTAGAGCATAGTTCGAGTACCAAACTTTTGGTTTTCACTAATGGATAGTGCATTGAAGTGTGCCCTTCCTGATATAAAAAATCCAAATTACAAAGTAGCTCATATGTAGGAAATGGTTAGAGTCACAGAGCTCTTGTTGCCAGTGATGCATAGAGTTCTGGTCGAAAAAATTGTTTCACGAAACGTTCTAGTTTCCTCAGCAAATGGCAAAATACAAGAGAAGTATTTTTTCAAAACCGCGGTTATTTTTTGACTTATACTTGGAGAATTGTTGGAGGAACAGACCTCTAGTTGCCACTGCTGTACAGAGCGTTAAAGTGCGCCTTATCTGATATAAAACATCATTCTAGAAAATTTTCTAGTTCTCTCAGGAAATGCCAAAGTGCAAAAACAGACAATGTTTTGAAAACCGCTGTTAGTCCATGACGCATGCTTAAAGAATTGTTTCAGTAACAGGTCTCTACTTGTTACTGCTGGATAAAGAGTTGAAGTGCGCCCTCTCTGTTTTCATTTCCAGTTGCAGAAAATTTCCAATTTTCTCAGAAAATGTGAATGTGCAAAGGTAGTCCAGTTTTCTAAAAACCGCGGCTAAATTTTGACTCATATTCGGAGAACCGTTAGAGTAACAGCGCTTTAGTTCGTCACTGTTCGATAAACTATTGAAGTGCGCGCTTTCTGATACCAAACGTCATTTTACGAAATCTTTTAGTTCTCTCAGAAAATGACAAAAAATTGCAAAAGTAGTCGATTGTTTGAAATCGCGGTTAGTTTATGCAATATTCTTAGAGAACCGTTCGAGTAACAGAGCTCTGGTTGTTAATGCTGGATAGAGCGTTGAATTGCGCCTTATTTGATATAAAACACTGTTTTAGAAAATTTTCTGGTTCTCTCCAGAAATGATAAAATGCAAAAGCAGTCAATGATTTGAAAATCGCTGTTAGACTATGGCTCATAGTTAGAGAATCGTTAGAGTAACAGATCTCTAATTGTTAGTGTTCGATAGAGCGTTCAAGAGCGCCTTTCCTGGTATAAAAAATAACTGTTAAAAAGGGTGCCAGGGTTTTGAATTCGAGAAAACCTCCCTTGCCAGGGAGACTCTAAAGCAACAGAGACACTTTATTTGGACTTAATCTTGAGCGTTTTTCATAAATTGAACCTGCCTTCTTTAGAAAATATCCGCTCAACATTTGGTTTAACAATTGTCTCCGATGAAAATCACTAAACAAGTAAGTCGTAATATTTTACGCGATCAGAACTTTGAATCGTGCAATAGAATGCAAATGGACATCATCTGGGCAGCATCTGGACTGCAGACGGAGAGTAAGACAGAGGGAATCGATACCGGGATTCTATCGATACGATTTAATTTAA